CAGTGTGAGTTTGGACCTGGGCCAGGCCGAGCTGGTCCATATCGTCCAGATGGCGGGCCGTCTGGGTATGGTGCCGCTGACATTGACCGCGGTGGGTCGTGGAGGCTCATACGGGATGGATCAGGCATCTCGAGGGTGTCCTGTACGGGATTGCCTTGCTGAAGATGGGTGGACTGCTGCGAAAAGCGCTGCTGGGTGCGTTGTGTTTTGATGCGCTGGATGGCAACTTTTTCATGGTCCTTACGGGAGAGTGTTTTGGAGCGAGAGATGCTTTCAATTCGTCCTGACGCGTCCTTGTTTCCGTTGGCAGCTGCCTTGGCGTACCAGCTTCGAGCTTCCTTGATATCGACAGCGGTGTAGATGCCAATCTCGTAGAAGTAACCAAGGGCAAACTCGGCAGTTGACAGGCCTGACTGGGCTGCCCGCTTGGCATAGGTGAATGCAAGTTCATCATTCTTCTCGAACACGCCTTCGTGTCCACATAGGAACCATTTGCTGATGGCCATCTCGGCGTCTGGTTCACCCTGTCTGGCCGCCAGGGCGTTGTAATGGATAGACAAGGCCGGATTGAAATCACAATCGAGCTGACAGAGCTCGTACGCGGAGCCCATTTTTACCTGAGCCTTTGCAAAGCCGTGATAGGCTGCCTTCTCGATGTTGATACGGGCATTGACGAGGTCGTGGGCCAGGTACTCGTCGGGGATGGAGACCTGAGGGAGTTCACGAGCAAGCAGCATCCCATAGACCTGTATATTCATTTATTTAGCAGGTGTAGCAAACCCATTTTAGAGGGTAATATACTAATACATACGTAGGCACCCTGAGGGGCGTTCTCGTCGCAGGTTTGTGCTGCATAACGTATATGGTCCAGCCCCACGGCGTAGTCCTGCCGTTGGCCATGCTGTCCCAGCAGTATCATCATCCCTAGACGCTGTACACCATCATGTTAGGGGTAGGATGTTACATGAGTAGATGTTGACAGGACATACATAGTATGAGGCGGAGTCACCCAGCCTGACTCCGTTCTCGTAATGCTTGATAGCCTTGTGCGGCTCGTTTGAGCTCTCGAACTGCATTCCCATACGGTACTCTGCGCGCGCGTAGCCACCCTCCGCGGCTCTGGAATAGCAACGGAAAGCCTCCTTCTTGTCGACTCGGAAACCGAACTTGCCGAACTCGAGCCACATGCCCTGGATGAACATGGCCCGCGGATGCCGCTGCTCGGCCAGGAAGGTGACGATATTGATGGCATCGGTCTTGAGCTGGTGTTCGATCTGGGGGGTCTGTGGCCGGGGAGGGTAGGCCACCTGGTTGCGCAGTTCGTTCTGCATGGCTACCTCAACGTAGGAGAGGGCATCCTGCGCCCAGGCAAGCTGCATCTCAGCATCGTTCGAGCCTAGCACCGCCAGACGGCCATGTTCGAGGTTTGCCTCGCGCTCCTCGTCGGTCGGAGGCACATTTGGAGGCGGGTTGATGAGCGGTGGAAAAGGAGAAAAGTTAGGGGCGTCGTAGCCGCCGCCGATACCACCGCCAGCAGTGCCGTACTGCTGTGATGCTTGCTGCGGGGGATAGGATGGAGAGGCCGGAGCAGAGTAGCCTGATGCTCCTTGGTTATGCATCGAGGAGCCACGACTTGGGTAATGCTGCTGCTGCTGTTGAGGGCGCAAGTTGGGGTTTGATCCAGAGGCGTCGAGCTCGAAGTGCGCGAGATTATCTTGCATGTTCTCTGGGACTTCGGGCATGACCCTAAAATGGGCAACTGTTAGCGGGCAGGCCGTGGACAGATAAGTAGAAAAAGAACCAACTATTAAATATCAAACAAAAAAAAAATATGCATTCTCAGCTATTGGCTATGTATAATAAATACCTCTGAGGAGCAGGCGAGATGACTTCAGGCATCTGGTAGTCGTCGACGGCGCCTGGATGGAAAGTCGCTCCCAAGCGCGGCGGACGAGACGAGTCGTACGGCGCGGCCATGGGCTAATATATCTGTCTATTTTAAAATTTTTTTAAAAAAAATGTTAATAAATTACCCCCAGAGGGCGTATCAGGGGACGAGCAGTTAGGGCACATACGAGGGGGAAGACGAAGAAAAGAAAAGAAAAAGGCGTTATCTCGTGTTCGAGGGCGCGGCCGCCGCTGGCTCGGTTCTATGGGAGGATGCTGGGATGCTGGCCGGGGCCCTGGACGGTGGGCTTAGTCGCAGGGCATGTAGGAGCAGATGGAGGAAGAGAGCAGAAGAGTTGGGATGTGGATGTTGGTAGATGTAGATATAGCGGTAGATGTGGATGTAGGAAGATGTAGGTAGAGAGAGGGCGTGGATGTAGATGTAGATGCGCTTGAACGGCTGTCAGGCAGTGTAGACACTCAGATAGAAGAATAAGAAGAATAAGAAGAGTAGCAGGAAGAGGAGGAAGAAGAAGAAGAAGAGGGAGGATGTAGACGTCAGGAGGAGACGAAGCTGTAGCATGAAGATATAAAACACGGATCGAGCACTGCCTCAGGTGGTTTATTTTTAGTCCTGTCGATGACACGCTCAGCAGACAGAAGGACGAGGCAGAAGAGGAGCAGAGGAAGAGAAGAGCAGAAGAGCAGAAGAATAAGCAAGTTGACTGTTGATCCGATGTAGATATAGCGGTTTAACTGACGAGGAAGCAGGAAGTTTACGCGTATACGACGGGACAGCGACACAAAGATGATATAGGACGACAGAGGAGAAAGAAAGACAAGAGAAGAAGCCAGGGAAGATGGAGAGGGATTTCCGTCATCCTTACAGGCCATATGATATCCAGGCGCAGTTCATGGAGGCGCTGTACGGCTGCATCGAGGACGGCGGCATAGGCATATTCGAGAGCCCAACAGGTGAGTCTACGGCGGTGATTGCTCTAGTTATTCGATTCTGACGGCTTGCAGGGACGGTATGTCTATGATATATACGATGGACGAGGTCGATGTCTGACGGGGATAGGGGAAATCTCTCAGTCTGATATGTGGCTCGCTGGCCTGGCTGAGACACCACAAACGCTCCGTCTTTCTCGAAAAGGCCGATGACGGTGTGTTTGCCGTGATAAGGCTTTTATTTCTATAGTCTACATGCTGACAGACACGGATAGACGACGACGGGGAGCCGGACTGGATGGTCCAGCATGCTCGACGCGAGAGGACCCGGGAGCTGCTCGCCCGTCGAAAGGAGCTCGAAGACCGTCTGGCTCGAGTCCGTGAAGCCGAAGAGCGTCACAGGAAGAAGCTGGAGCTTGCCTCCCGTTCGTTCAAGAAGATGGTACCTCCTATACCCTGCTACCTTCTGCTATATCCTGCTATATAGATGATACCCCCGGGTTTATGCTGACATGCTATAGCGAGTCGACGAGAAAGCTCGATCAGAGACCAGGGAGGAAGACTTCGAGCTGGATGACTACGAGAGCGGTGACGAGACGGCTGGACGGCCACAGGATGATACCAGCCCCTTATCGGCGGACACGCTGGCCCTGCTGGAGAGACTGAAGGGCCCCGTTCGGCAGGCAGAAGACGACGACGAGGAGACCGTCAAGATCATCTACTGCTCTCGAACACACTCGCAGCTCATCCAGTTCGCACAGGAGATGCGCCGTGTCCTGCCTGTGTCAAGCGTACCCCCTGACCTGGACGAGAAGCAAGATGAAAAGGAAGGAGAAAACGAAAAAGGAGAATGGATCAAGCATACGCCTCTCGCCTCTCGCAAGGCTCTCTGCATCAACCCTTCTGTACGGTCTCTGGCTTCTGCCACCGCCATCAACGAACGGTGTCTGGAGATACAACGGCCCAACGTCGCGGCGGAGCACAGGTGTCCCTATCTGCCTGCGGACAACGAGCTCAAGACCTCCCAATTCCAGGACCACCTGCTCGCCCGGGTCAGTGATATTGAAGACCTACCGCCCCTCGGTACGAGGATAGGCATATGTCCCTACTACGCAACCCGCACCGCCATGCGAGCTCCCGCCACGGAAGTGGTCACCTTGCCTTATCCCCTGCTGCTACAGCAGTCTGCCCGTGAGGCGCTCAACCTCTCGGCAAAGAAGAGCGTCATCATCATCGACGAAGCACATAACCTCGTCGATGCAATTGTCAACATCCACTCCGTCGCCGTCTCGCTGGCACAGCTCAGAACTGCCCTGGCCCAGATAACGACGTACGCGAAACGGTTCAAGACTCGTCTACGAGGCAGGAACCGGGTATATATTGCTCAGCTTATCAGACTGGTCGGATGCATGGTTCGGTGCTTGGAAGAGGTGGCAGCACAGACTGATAGGGCGGATGGGGAGCTCAAGGTGCAGGATGTCCTGGGCGGTGGTCTTGGTAAAGGGGGTGCAGACATGATCAACCCGCACAAGCTGGGTGTCTATCTGAGGGAGAGCAAGCTCGCTAGGAAGGTAGACGGGTATATTGAACATACCACTGCCCAGGCTGGTGGCGGTATGGGGGCTGGTCGGAAGGGGGACGGCGGAATGCCGGTGCTGTTCCATGTGCAGAGCTTCCTCCTCCCCCTCATGGACCCTTCAGACGAAGGACGGCTGTTCTACGAAAAGGCTAGCGGCGACGTGCAGATGAAATATCTCTTGCTCGATCCTACCAGTCGGTTCAGGGAGCTTGTTGAGGACGCAAGGGCTGTTATCCTTGCTGGAGGGACCATGGAGCCGGTTCGTCTGCCCTGGGCCCCCTCCCCTTTTTATACTAAGTCTTGTTTTTCTAACTTCTGTATAGATGGATGACTACGTTGATCATTTACTCTCGTACGTTCCACGAGAGAAGGTGAAGACTTTTACTTACGGGCACGTCATACCAAAGGACAACCTGATAGCCATCCCGGTGGCTAGAGGGATGGATAACGTCGAGTTCAACTTCACCTTTGACCAGCGGCAGTCCGAAAAGATGGTATGCAACATTACACATATAGACCCAGGTTTAGAACTGATAGATGATTATAGATCACCAGCCTGGGCCAAATGATAGCAAGATTCTGCTCTGTCATCCCTGACGGTGTCGTTGTATTCTTCCCAAGCTACGACTACCTAGCAACCGTTCTGAGAGTCTGGTCATCCACCTCCGGCGTTCTCGACAATCTCTCCCGCCTCAAACCCATCTTTCATGAAGCCCCGTCTGACAGCAGCGGCAGTAACAACAACAACACCAACACCAACACAGACTCTCTCCTACAGCAATACTCCGCCTCCATTGACGCTGGAAAGGGTGGCCTCCTCCTCTCCGTGATGGGCGGTAAGCTATCGGAAGGCATCAACTTTTCAGACGCACTAGGCCGTGGCGTTATTGTAGTTGGCCTCCCATTCCCAAACACCCGCAACGCCATCTGGCAGGCGAAGCTGCAGCATGTCGAAAGGAGGGCATATGATCTTGCGGATGCAAGCCTGTCCGCGGCAGAACGAAGAGCCCGTGGCAAGCAGGCGAGCAGGGCGTACTATGAAAACACATGCATGAGGACAGTCAACCAGTGTATCGGTCGCGCTATACGGCACAAGGAGGACTATGCCGCCATCTTGATGATAGATAAGAGGTATCAAACTGAGAGGATTCAGGGGAAGCTGCCTGGCTGGATCAGGGGGAGTCTCCGTCCGCAGTCCGTTGCCCATCAGCAACTCCAGCAGCTCTTCAGTAATAAATCCTAGAAAATGTCCTCTCTCTCTGCCACTCACTTCTCTACTCTATATTCCCTTTACTCGTATATTCTTTGTCTGTTCTCTCTATTCGTCTTTCTTCCGCGTAGAAATAAAAGCTGACTAAGCATTACTGACTCATCACTTACTAATAAAACGTGACTAGGGCTAACCCTAAGCGACACCACAAGGCCAAGAAAGGAAGTTTTGAAGTCGAAAGAAGACGAAGAAAGCGAAAACAAGCGTTGAGACTTCATCTTTTCTTCCATCGACCACATTTCTTGTCGACCAGCGCGCCTCCGACAAGATGCCTACCAGACTCACCAAGACGAGAAAGCAGTGAGTGCCTCCATCTGTGTTCTGTGGTGCGCGATGCGCCGGCAGAAAGAAACCCGTTTTGAGAGAGCACGTCTCGCTGATGAAAGATGATATATAGCCGTGGCCATGTGTCCGCTGGTTACGGTCGTGTAGGAAAACACCGCAAGCACCCCGGAGGTCGTGGTATGGCTGGTGGTCAGCACCACCACAGAACCAACCTCGACAAGTACCATCCCGGTTACTTCGGTAAAGTCGGTATGCGATACTTCCACAAGACGCAGAACCAGTTCTGGAGACCAGTCATCAACCTCGACAAGGTACGGCAACCGAAAACCCAGAAAGAGCAATCTCTCAGAGAGAAGAGAGAGGGAGGGAATTGCGCATGGAAGAGGAAGAAAGTATGGATATGGGGGTGATTGTCAAGTGCTAATTGTGTTGGTAGCTATGGTCTCTTGTCCCAGCCGAAACCCGTGACGCCTACATCAGCAACAAGAAGCCCGATACCGCCCCCGTTCTCGACCTCCTACCACTCGGCTACTCCAAGGTCCTCGGCAAGGGCCGCCTCCCAGAGATCCCAATGGTTGTACGAGCGCGATTCTTCAGCAAGGAGGCTGAGAGGAAGATCAAGGAGGCCGGTGGTGTTGTTGAGTTGGTTGCCTAAATGCCCTGTTGAACGATCGATGGTTCGCTGCCAACGTCTGTCTTGTACGCTTGTTGATGGAGGAGATGGGGACCCCCTTGCAATTCTCTGGCGCGAGAGAGGCTCACTGATCGATCGCCCCGTTGCGTACTTTTCTTGCTCTTTTTTTCTTTCTGCGTCTACAGCATGGGAATTAGGGAAACGGAACGGCGTGATGCAGTGCAGTGAAATGATCTACCAAAAGAAAAGAAAATTTTAATGACGATTTAAAAGATCAAAAACTGTGGCGGTTTAAACCCTGGGTTTGACGGGTTGTGGACATTTCTCTCCCTCTCTCCCTGGTATGAAATCAAGTTCTATCCCATACAATACATAGGTGGAATAGAATTCTTTTTCCTATACTTCAAATCGTTGCGTCTCCATTGCTGATCTTTTGTAAGAGAACAAAAAAAACGTATGTGAATCTACATCTTGGATGTCCTAACCATGGCAGATCTCGATGAGCTATCCTGACCCGCAGAGAGACACTCGCCGATGAACCTGATGGCCTCGTCTCTCATTGGGGGCGTAACTTGGTGTCCCACCCCCTCAAAGATGATATCTTCTAACGATATCTTCCCTTCTGCGTACCATCCGTCTGGTCCAATGGCCCTCTTCAACCATGTCAAAAATGGTTCTCCACGCGCATATGGAACCAACTTGTCCGCACCACCAGAGAGGGTTAGTATCTTCTTGCCCGCCAGGCACCGCCTCATCAACGGTCGGAGAGCGTCCTTCTCCTCTTCGGTAGGGTCACGTATGGGGTTGCTACGGCTAGGTTCCTTGAACGAGTGATCACTCATATGGCTGAGAAAAAGGCTTGCGGGGTCCCAATGCCTCAAGCTCTCTATCAGAGGTTGTGGAAACGACTCAGAGCCTAAGAACTGAGAGCCAGGTGGACTGTTCCCTGTCCAGGTAGGCAACTTTGAAAGCCGTGCTCGATCAGTCATCAGGTTGATATAGTCTGGACAACCGACGATGACGATGGCGCTTGTGATGCGTGGCTCATGAAGGATGCAGCCCCATGCGGCATGCCCACCGAGAGAGACACCCAGGGCGAGGTTGTTGGTGATTCTACGGTCTGACTTGGGGAAGAGATAGCATCCCATATAGTCGATCAATATAGACACATCTCGTGTTGTGCCATCTATACCAATTAGCCATCCATATACCATAAACGCAAGTAGATATTATATGGCGGCCTCACTGAAGATAGAAAACATATCCTGTGCATGATTTGGATTCCCCTGTTTCCAGGACTCGTTACACAGCTTTTCCACCTCTCTCGAGCCATGGTTCCGCTGGTCGAAGGATATAGCTACCAGCCCCTTGTTCTGCTCACTCGGAGCAACCTGCTTGCTGGCTAGTCGTCTGTTCCACTCTGCCACTGCCCCAACAGCAGCCCATTCCATGCACTCGCGGGTATTCGAGCGTGGATGCAGCAGATAGAGACAAGACACTTCCGTCGCCTGGGAGGGTATTTCTTCAAGCCCATAGACAGAGCAAACGATCCCCGAGACGGGAATCTCTTTCCTGGATATCTTGGGATGCGGCATCGAGTCGCTTGGTATCATCGGGTTAGCCATCTTGGGTATCGATAAACCGTTATTTAGATATAACCAAGCCTCTCTATAGCTTCTCTTCTCTTCTATACTCTGTACTTCTTCCCTATCTTCTTCTACGTCTTCTACTTTTATATCTTTTTACTTTGCCGAGGCAGATTCTACCATCACGTGATCATACCAGCTTAGTCATCTATCCCGCATTGCTTTCGCCTGATTGGGTCAGATTGAGAAGGAAATCAAGGAGTTCGAAGAAGACGAAGACGAAGAAGAAGAACAAACAACAAAGAAGAATAGGAAGAAAAAGAAGAAGAAGAAAGCAGAAGGACGAGAGAAAGAATAAGAAGAACAATCAAGAGGAAAAGGATTGATATAGTCTCTTAAGATATCACAGGCCTACAGAGATGATACAGCGGTATTTTGAACTCCCATCCAGCTTGCCATGCAAGATAACTAGAAACTACATGATTTGAGGATGGAGTGCTAACGGATGGTATATATTCATAGCTGCAAGCAGTGAGCAGCAGGACATACTCCTGCCGGGCTCATTAGGGAGCAAACAGCCTTCACTGCGAACTACATACTCTCGACGGCGTACTCTTTAGCAATTCAGACAATACTTCATACAACCCAACCCACTGTCTCCCCTTATCAATACGAGGACGCAAATTACCGGAGAAGATGGATGAAAACGGCGGAAAAGGGGACCCCGAGGGGCAGATTCAGAATTCTGCAGACACAGCTCATGTATACGGCAGCAGAAGCACTGATCCCTTGGCCAAGGGCGAGCACACTCTTACTGTTAGTGTTTCAGGACTGGGCAACCTTTGTGCTGTTGTCTCAACACCCTATTGTGTTATATTTTACACTTTCCACCAGGTGTTGAATTTTTGCAGTGGCAATAGACTAACTGGACCAACGTATAGGGTCCTAATGAGACTAGTCTACACTCCGTAACCGGTACATCAACACCTACTGCACGCAGGAGTGTTCAGTTTGCCCGGTCAGAGGGTGACAACGATGTGCAGGGACAATCTTATTCCAGGCCAGCTTCCGTACTTACAGCTGATGAAGATATTGCTCCTAAACGTGGGCACTTTCAATTCATGTCCAAGCTACGGGCCTTCGCCGCGGCTCCTTCTACTTCTCGATCAGGTCCGGCTTCTCCTATAGGCGAGCTAGGTCACAATAGGACAATGTCTGACGTCGCAGGCCCGATCTCTGACCTGACAGAATTTCGATTTCCCAGGCCAGAGGATGGAGGTGGTGGGAGTGACGCGGATGCAGATGTTGAATCTAGCTCCGAAGCAGGCTTTGGCGTGCAAATGAAGAAAAAGAAGCGCAAGACAAAGAGACTGCCACTCGACCTCTCTCAAACAACTCCGTCTACCCCGAAATCGACTCTATCAGCTGCAAATTCGCTCAACCCAATTGATGGTCTCCCATCGACCAATGGCCCGCCACTGACCCCGCCGCTTCATCCTCACCTGCGAGAAGGCGTCTCTGAAGATGAGGGGAGGGAAAGGTTGAATCGGGACAACATGTGGCGGAGAAGAAGCAATTGGTTACAGAGCACGCGCGGACGAAGCAGTACTGGACAGCGGGCTGACGGACACACTTCCCAGGATGAGAGGCGCCCAACCAATCTACGACGTCTCACAGGGTTTGGCGGTGCATCTGACCATGGCGACGGTATCAGCGGAGCCTGGCGTCGGCATAAAGCTGAACGTGGCTCTAGCCTTAGTGCACAGAAATGGAAGCAGATCAAGGCTGGTTTCAAGATGATCGGGCAGCGCAAGAAGCCCGAAAATACAGTCGACCACGTCAAGTCTGCTGAACTGCTCGCTGAGCTGACGTCAGGTGTACCGGCAGCTCTGTTGCTGGCTAGCATGTTCCAGCGAGATGAACATGGAAGTCGGCGCATTCCTATCCTTCTTGAGCAACTCAAAGTGCATGTAACAGATAGCGAATTTGACTCACACTCGTCGGGAGACCGCCATCTTGTTTTTCGCATAGAGCTCGAATACGGTAGCGGAATGACTCGCATGAAATGGATAATCCATAGGACACTCAAGGACTTCGCCAATTTACATATAAAATACAAGCTGCAGATTGGTACCCAGAGATACATCCAACTACGGAGCCATGATTCCGGGAACCAGTTGCCGCATTTCCCAAAGAGTGCGTTTCCCTATATGCGAGGTGTACGTGGTCTTGAGAGCGATATGGAAGATGAGGAAGAGGAAGCTGCAGAAGACACTGCCGCGGACGCGACTAGTGGAAATGAACGATCAAGGAAGAAGAAACGAAGGTCCTCCATTGCCCTTGTTAGAAGACGGTCCAGTTTGGCCTCACGGCTCGAAGCTCCGACCAATTCGGACAGAGCTGTTGATAGTACCATAGCGAACAAAAGGGAGACGTATCCCGAAAAACAGAGGAAGAAGTTGGAGTCTTATCTACAGAAGATGATACGTTTCCTAATTTTCCGGCCAGATAGCAACCGCCTCTGCAAGTTTCTCGAGCTCTCTGCTCTTGGTGTTCGTCTTGCAGCCGAAGGAAGTTACCATGGTAAGGAAGGGTACTTGGTTATTCAGTCTTCCAAGGGTCTTGATTTCAGAAAAGCCTTAAGCCCATCCCTGGTGAAATCGCGCCATTCTCCGAAATGGTTCTTGGTCCGGCATAGTTACATTGTCTGCGTTGACTCTCCAGAAGAGATGCATATTTATGATGTCTTCCTTATCGACGCCTATTTCCAGGTCCAAGCCCAAAAGGTCCGACTTAGGGATCAGAATCCAACGGAGCTGAAGGAGTCCGCCAAACACCCCCAACATCATACACTGAAAATCCAGAACTCGGAACGGAGAATGAGGCTACTTGCGAGGAACGACCGACAACTTCGTCAATTTGAAGAGTCTATTCGTTTGGTGCTCGAAACGACGCCCTGGGCTAAACCGAACCGGTTCGACAGCTTTGCTCCGGTACGGCCAAACTGCTTCGCACAATGGCTGGTAGACGGACGGGATTACATGTGGGTAGTCTCAAGAGCGATAAACCAGGCCAAGGATGTTATCTACATCCACGACTGGTGGCTAAGTCCCGAACTCTACATGCGACGCCCGGCTGCTATCAGTCAGAAGTGGCGTCTGGACCGTTTACTGCAACGGAAGGCCCAAGAGGGTGTGAAGATATTCGTTATCATGTATCGAAATATCAACTCAGCTATCCCTATCGATTCTGAGTATTCAAAATTCTCGTTACTAGATCTACACCCCAATGTCTTTGTTCAGCGGTCTCCGAACCAGTTCAGACAGAACACATTCTTCTGGGCCCATCATGAGAAACTTTGCATTGTTGACCACACTTTGGCATTCGTTGGTGGCATTGACCTTTGCTTCGGTCGATGGGATACGCCACAGCATCTAATAACGGACGATAAACTTACTGGATTTGAAATGACAGACTCTCCTAAAGATGCGGATCACTGTCAGCTATGGCCAGGCAAGGACTATTCAAATCCGAGAGTTCTGGATTTCTATGATCTGGATAAGCCGTATGAAGAGATGTATGACCGTGAAGTTGTTCCGCGTATGGCATGGCATGATATATCTATGCATGTTGTAGGACAACCGGCACGAGATCTTACCCGCCACTTCGTCCAAAGATGGAACTACATTCTTCGCCAACGTAAACCTACGCGACCAACTCCGTTCCTTTTGCCCCCGCCAGATTTCAATCCCGCAGACCTTGAAGCTCTCGGCCTAGATGGGACGTGTGAGGTTCAAATGGTGCGCTCAAGTAGTATGTGGTCTACGGGTACTCCTGATCTTGTCGAATGCAGCATAATGAATGCATACGTTAAGATGATTGAAAAGTCAGATCATTTCGTCTACATAGAAAATCAATTTTTCATTAGTAGTTGCGAAATCGAGGGAAAGAAGATCGAAAACCACATCGGCGATGCACTGGTTGAGAGAATCATTCGAGCTGCGAACAACGAAGAGGCATGGCGTGCTGTTATTCTAATTCCCCTTATGCCCGGGTTCCAGAACACGGTGGACACCGAAGGCGGAACCAGTGTGCGATTGATCATGCAATGCCAGTATAGAAGTATCTGTCGTGGCGAGACTTCGATTTTCGGCCGTTTGCGTGCTCGTGGCATTGAACCTGAAGATTACATTCAATTTTTCAGTTTACGGTCGTGGGGAAGAATTGGACCTAAGAAAAATCTAGTTACAGAGCAGTTATACATACACGCAAAATGCATGGTTATTGATGACCGAGTTGCCATAATTGGTTCCGCGAACATCAACGAGCGCTCTATGCTTGGTTCAAGGGACTCAGAGTGTGCAGCTGTCGTTCGAGATACAGACCTGATTGAGTCCAGTATGAATGGAAAGCCGTACCTGGTAGGGCGTTTCCCACATACTCTCCGAATGCGTCTGATGAGGGAGCATCTAGGCTTTGATGTTGATGAAATCCTGGAGGAGTACACTTCAGCCCCCGCTGCGGCGAACATAGACAGCAACCTTGGACACCGGCCGGATGTCGCAATTAGAGCTGAACATATTCCTGTTGATAGTGAACATCAACTTGACAAAGAAGACCTGGAGAGGAGGCAAAAGGTTCAGGAGGAGTTCCTGGCTAGGTCTGAAGAGATGCATAGTTTCAATCATGATGTTGACTGGGAACAGGCAGGCAACCCAAACCTCAAGTCAAATAGGAAACTTACTGCCGATGCCAGAGTGACAAGGAATGAAGACCACCGCAAAGACTTAGAGGGCCACGGGGTTGATCAGATGAAACGTAACGGTGAGATTACTGGCACTACTGGTCGTGATACGTTCCTTGATAAGAACAGCGTCGAGATATTGGTCACTGGCAAGGCCAGGAACAATCCAACTTTATCCACAGTGCCATGCGACAACGTATCGGAGGCACCAGCGTCTGGTGCACATACCAGGCAGCCAACTGCTCCTGGCACACCAGAGACCCACCCAAAAAGTGTCTCGATGTCTAGCCCCCGAATGACAGGGCAAAGTCGACCAACTACAACCAACGCCACTGATGATCACATACAGCACTTCTCTCTTGACGCCACACAGCCGAAGCATACCTCACATTCCTCTTCGGATGAACCGAGACGGCCCATTCTTGACAAGGATTGTATGAAAGATCCACTGGTCGACTCATTTTACTTGGATACTTGGCAGGCCATTGCAGAAAATAACACTAAACTTTTCAGAAGCGTCTTCCGTTGCATGCCAGATAGCGAGGTTAAGTCATGGAAGGACTACAAGGAATATACGGCTTATGCTGAAAGATTTGCTGACATGCAAAACAATCATCACAATACCTCAGCTGCTACACAGACATGCCCTCGTAACGGTCCTTCAGGTGCTAATAATGGTACATCCAATGGCGGGAAGCTTGGAGCGGAGCTTGGAAATACGGTTGAGGACGTGAAAGAGAAATTTACAAATCATCCTTCCGATAAAGACAAGGACCAGCAAGGGAACTTGCAACAGTGGGCAATGGATACCAACAAAGCGCAACTTGAACGCCAACAAGAAGAGTTGGCCAATGTTGAGAAGTTCACTTCTCACACAGACGCCCCCTCGCATGCTGTCAATAATATTGATACGAGGTCGTCTAACTCCAGCCGTCAGGCAGAACCTTCTCAGACTGCTGCGGTGCCTGAAAAGAATATTGAGCTACCTCGGTCTGCCCAATCCGAAGCTCCCATTCCAAGTATCGGCATGTCACAGCGACGCAGAAGGAGGGCGACCACCCGCGGTTCAAAGAAAGAATTCCATGCGGTGGATGATATCATGGATATGCATGAAGCAGGCGAATTGCTTAACTTGGTGCAAGGCCACTTGGTTCTCTGGCCTTATGAATGGTAAGTTGACGAGTTTTCTTAAAATAGGCATGTTTAAGTTAGTTTACTGACCTTTAATCCATTCACTAGGTTGGAACGTGAGGAACAAGGGGGTAACTGGTTGTATACACTCGATCAGATCTCACCTCTGGAAATATAGTAAGACTCCTCTTCTCCATCGCATACATTAGGTTAGTGTCTAACAACGAATGATATAGTAATTGAGTGAACCCACTCTCACAACCAATTATGAGTATATATTCTCTAAATTTCTATTTGCAGTCATTACCGTGAATTTCACAAATACCCCAACTGAGTTCCGTCGTTTGTCGTCGTTTTTATTTCCTTCTCTTCCGTCTGGAGCATTAGGAGCTACGGTCATTTTCGCTTATTCGATACATATTTCTTTTAATTTAATACACCCTTCACCTATCGTTCTGCATTATATTTGGTCCCCTTCCTGTATATGTACCCACTCGTTCTAATATTTTCATAGCTATTCAATATAGATCCCTAGTTTAGCTAATAATAATAAGATGCACTGCCTTCATACATAGCATATGCATATGCGACGCTAAACAAAAGGACCCCATGGATCGTGCATACATGATTAGATGACTTCTTCCGGGAATTGAACTGCAGGGAACATGCATATACAAACACGATATGCACCCACTACAACGTGGGAGGCTGTATATTTAGGTCAGCCTCATGCATAAGTACGAAGTAGTCAAGTAGATCTGACCCATTCTCGTTTATGATGGATTGCTGATGGCCAGTTGGTGATAAGCATGTCCTGCAAAGTGGATAATATATAGTGGAGAATTGCCTGTATATATAGATCTGGCCAGGGTCATGAAGGCCGATTTGACCTATAGTTTGTTTGATTGCTATGGATGGTATCCAGATATAGATATAAGATGGCTATGTACAAATGCATGATGCAACTCAGTATCTGCATGCAGTGTCCAGCTGTGTATCGCAAAATTGCAAAAGTCCCCTCGGCGGAACAAATAATCAATTAATATACAACCTCCCTTTTTTCGATGTGAATGGTATAATGGCCCCGTATCCAAACTCCCCGCTCAAGTCAAACGCCGGTCATGTAAAAAGAAGAAATGTATGTGTGTGTGTGTGTGTAGGTAGTTCGTTTGGTATCACTTCAATAGCCTCACTTTCCAGGTTGTGACGATTTTGGATGCTTATTTCATCCATGTCCATACCCATCTCAAGAAAGTCTTACCATTCTCAGCTGTAAACCCATCGTCTGGGAATTCCAATCTTCCTTTTCGGGTCTTGCTGGTGACTTGCACCGTGTTTTGAAGGTCATTTGATCGTTCAGGGCCCCATTCGGAGAAGCGAAGTCCATGTTTCTTGACCTTGTAGCCAATGACGAGGATGAAAAACACGGGTATTCCGATATACGCAGCAAGGAAATGCCTGAGGTTGAAAGGGGTTTCCAGGAAGGCTCCAACCCCATTGAAAATGATAAGGATAATGCAGGAAATCAGTCCATATGCGCCTTTTAACCACTGGCCGTGAGATTTGTACGGGTAGCGTGGGTGATCTCGTTCATAGCAGCCAGACTGCGCTTGGGAAGTATTTCCGAGATTTTTAGCTTCGTTAAGACTTGGTATGAAATTAGTATATTGGTTGCATTATTGTTTGCGGATAAGAACTTACGTTCTATAGAAGCATAGATAGGTTCCGCAAATCGCAGTGTATACGATGAGACATGAAACCGTACAATTGGTTGCGAGCTCACCGAGTCTCTGTGATATTTTCTATTAGCATAAATTCTCCCGTTTCAAGATAAAATGTTTAATTACTCACCTGTCCGGGGCCGCCAGTCGGACCCATATAGGCAATCATCATCAAACCTGCCGTTGCAAAAACCGTTCTCAGGGGCACTCCCAAATGGCATTCTTGAAGCCTTCGTGTAAGCCACCTTGGGCCAGTCTGTTCTCGCAGGGCTAAGGTATGCAGCACTCTTGATGCCACATACATCGAGTTTATAGCGCAGGTAAATGCCGAAAAGACATACATGGCGTTGAAAAAGTGAGCGGCTGCGGGAAGACCGGCCTCGACGACAGCGATGAGAAAGACAGATGAGGCGCCAACCGACTGTGCCTTTCCGTTCAAAAATGGATGGTTTCGTGGAACCAGGAACGAGGCAGTAAGCATGGAAAGCGTATAAAGGGTGATGACACGTAGATTGATCTTTCGGGCCGCCATCTTCATGCTTTCCGAGTCAGCAAGAGATTTGCTTTCTGCGGCCGTAGCAGCAACGATGTCCATTCCTACGTATGAGAATATCACGTTGATAATGGTTGTCCTTATTTGGGGGATTAGTGACTGTTGTGTGGCTTAAACTCAGGTTATAGGAGGTCTAACTTACCACATCCCCAGAAATGAGCCCATGGTTCCTTTAATTTCCATCTGTACGGTGTTATCATCTCCTCGCACTTTATAGTCTCGACAAATGAATGAGAACGGTTGGTCCCAATCTAGATAGTCATAGATTAGTTCTCGAGTGGTTTAGGAAGCAACTGAAGTATAGCACTCACACTTGGTCCCAACAGGATCTTTGTAGTATGCGTTTGGTCGAGCTGTAGCGAAGCGTTAGTGTTGTGTAAACGTGAGTAGTATTAGAAGGCATCAACGTACGTTGCATTGTATCCAGCACAACCATCATCACTATGATCATTGTGATGAAGCTGAGCTTAATGCTGCCGAAGATATACTCTAGCTCGCCATAATACTAGAAATGAGTGTCAGTTATGCATATAAAGATCAAGGGGGTAGTGGCTGTCCGAACCTTGACAGGCAACATGTTTATCATAGTAACTAGGAATAAGAAGAGCGATATCCACACGGCAGGATGTACGTTTTCTCCAGTTTCCCAGTGTAGAAACGTTTTGCCGTCGTCATATCGAAATCTGACAGAGTTTGTCACTGCAACTAGCTGATCTGCCGCAAGGACAGCGTAGGCAAACCTGTTGCCACAGACATGTATCAGTATATATCAATGCTTGGTTCAGGGGGATTTAACCAGGGAATCCTAACCAATAGACCCAGCCGACAGCAAAGCCAACGCCTCGGTCGACGAAACGCCGGGGAAACTCCATGACTGGTGCGTTAACAGGCATAAGAGCTGTCATCTCACCCAGACATGAGATGACCGAAGATATGACGGTGGCCATCAGAATATAGCAAAGCACAGCGCCTCCGGGTCCAGCACCGGCAAGCGACCTTCCACTCCCGAGAAAGAGGCCTGAAAGCAGTGTTAGAACAGGTAATATATATCAAAAGTCATGTATAACGAAGCTGGCTTACCATTCCCTATCGTTCTGATGGCGGTAGATTTTGATAGTCAGTCAACGAGGCTCAACATCAAGTACGTATGCACGTATCTATCTATTATAGCAGACATACCCAGAAAATGCAATCATCTATAGACAGAATCCATGTTAGTAACCGCAACACGTCCGGTAAAGTCATCAGGTTGATATGGAATAAGGGGAGGAGAAGACTTACGTTGATCTGTCTCTCTCCCAAGACTCTCCTATACAAACGAAAAACAAGCTTCATGTCAGCACAACGTCTTGTCAACGACAGCAACGACAACAACGGCCATCTCCAACGGCCTTCAACTTCACCAAAGACCAGTAGGGTGAATTCTTTATATACCAAACACTGAATCCCTTACGAGCACGCTGCTCCGTGTCAAAGGTCGGCTCCTCCACCATGGCTTCCACCATGGTCCGTTCCGTGGGCGCATAGTCTGCACTGAACATGGTTGGCTCTGGGTGGTATTCATGATAACTCGGGAGCGAGTTTGGAGGTTTCTCGGCAGGTTCCATATCGTTCGATTCTGCCGCGTCTTGCAGGGCTTTTGTCCATATACAGTCCTCCTCCAGCCCCGGATGGCGGCCCTTGACGGGCAGGTAACAATTGCTGGAAGACCTTAGACGGCTGAGAAAAGCAAAATCAACGTCGAATTCTGAGGATATCCCCTCTGAGAAGAAGCTAGTCGACGGACAACGAGTCCTTTGGTGCGATTATTGTGTTCAAGGGATGGATATCAGCGAAGAGAGAAAAAGAGGCTGTCCATGCCAAATTTAGAGGTTACGGATGCAGAAACTTCGGACAGCGGCTGATATCGACATCTCTTGCATCCCGTCAATTATCGCTTAGGCGCAGAACCTGATAATATTAGGTCTCTTTATTGCGGTTTCAACCCCGCGGGTAGATCAACAGGCAACGGCTCGGTTTACCCAAAGTTGCAATACATGAAGGAATCGGGGATGCTTGGAGAATTAAAAGCCACTGGATCAAGAGAGCGGCCTGCAAATTACTGTTAGACTTCGGGTGAATGGCGGTAGAAGGCTGATCACCAGCTTGTACGTCTCGTATCAAGACACACTAGATGCTGCGGTACCATGACTTGGGCGCCGCAGGGAATCAACTTTCCCTGGTCTCAGAAAAAGAAACCAAGCCTAGCCCTCCAGAAGCAAAAAGGAAAGGACGAAACCCTGAAACGGGCCATGGTGGCGCGGTACTACTCGGGAAGTGGATGAAGATTGAATGCTGGCCCTTGTCCATCAAGCCTCTAATGCTGGGCTAAAACCCGCTAGCAGGGCTGCTACAGGAGTCAATCTACTGCGTACAGCAAAACAACTCACACCAGCGAAGTTTGTTCCCTCGCCTCGCTCGTGATGCGTCAGAGCGTACAGGATGTTTCGTGACTATGGGGGAACTATAAGTCTTCTCATCCGGCCAGGGGGGGACGGGAGCCTCTCGCAATTTGGTGTGTTATCAAAGGCGTGGTCGGCTGTGGATGATTTATATGTTGAGGGTGCAGGCTGACTTCGAATATATAGCCAGTCAATTGAAGCAATGAAACCATGAAATTCTCGATGACCCAACCCTCCTTCGCTCAGCCCCAAAAATCTTCGGTCTCTTATCAAAGAGCAATGCCATTTCGGCGAACCATGAACAGGAGCGACGATGATCTTCGTAACTGCTGTGATAAGCCGTCCAAGATAAAACAGCATCTGTGTGAAATGCAGTCAGCTTGAGGAGGCAAATCAAGCAAAAGAAACTGGTCATCGCTGTGATATTTATTTGGCTTCGAGAAACGCCCAAAGCCTTCAGCAAGGATGAGGATAATATCTATCATTTTTTTTACAACATAACGATGTTAATAATCGGTTTTTGGGCCTGACTGGACCCCTAACTTATTCATTCCCACGTTTATCGTATAACGTGGGAATTTGCTGGTTGATGGATCTGGGGAAACAAATCCAGCATAAGATTACAGAATATTATTCAGAGTTACAACTTTCTACTCAACGACTTCTCGTTGTCCAACGCTCGGAATTAGTCACCATCAAGTACATGACACTCTGCACTGTCCGCCATCCCACGGAGCGTATCACAAATGCCAGCCGACTGGTGGGCTCGTTCGCAAGAAAAAGAAAACGAGCAACAGCCATCGAGGGTTGGTGAGTTAAAGTATGAGCATTCCAGGATCTACGTATATATACGAGGCCACTCTCCACACCCTTTGAGGATGCCTCGCTTTCATCGCATTCGGCATGTTTCCTCCAAACAACCTATACTTCATTCCATCGCGAGAAGATAGTGGAGATAATAAGAAAAACAGAATCGCACGATCAAAGAAAAGAAGAGGTGAAACAGAATCGAATACTCTCACCACAACCTTTCGCCCGACCACAGCCAAAAGAGGCAAACGGAGAACACTTCCAGCTTGGGCATCAGGGCAAAAATGCCAAATTACCGCTGGAAGCCGATGCATATAAAGGGGGAAGGGGGAAAAGCTGCGATAGCCCCCTGATCGCTGACCATTTTCTCACAGTCGACCATGACAGTTGATCATTCGAAATACGTTTGAAAAGGTGTTTATACGGAGGTATACTTTACTTGTCGCTGAAGGATAAAAAATGATGGCCTTGGCTGTCTTTCTTTTTCTTCTTTTCTCATGTCCCTCGGTGCGATAATATTTATCGACAAGCAAAAATTTGATTGATAATCCCATGTCCTCGGCAAGGCCTCTAGACCACAAAAAAAGAAAAGGGCAAAAGGAGTCACTCTCACAGGTCCAGTCAGGCCACAGCTGTTCATGTGGATTGTCCAGCCATCTTCCGTACCCGCTCCCCACTCGTGGCTGTCCTTTGCCCTCTCACTCCCCAGACTTTTGAGCCTTTGGGTGATTGCAGAGAGGAAAAAACCCTAACAGGGAGGGCCCCAGCCATTTCTGGGGGGGGGGAAGAGAGGCAGACAACAATCTTGCGCAGCCGGACCCTCCACTGTGAAGCGTAATAGACGCATACCAGTACGTAAGTATAACCCTGGGGGCTGCACATCCCATCTTACATTGTATATGTACGCTGCCTTGCAGCCGGCACCAGTTACAGACACAAACACTGTCGATGCCCAGACTCAGGCTGCCTATCGGGCAGCGCCCATTGTTATTCAAGCCCAGTAACCCGTTGATATATATGGATGTACTTCCGTAAAAACGAGGTTCCCTATCCAACTTGGCTTCTTATGGCCCCAAACAGGCCATCGTTCTTATTCGATAAAGGGGACCAGCTAGTTTTAACTAGCTCATGGAGCAAATCTTATCGCTGCTGGTGTGCTTGACTCCGCCTGCTCCGCTTTTTAACAAGCAATCCCTCGCTTCTTGTGTCCTTGGTCTGATCCCAGCCACAAGGATCTGGGGATAGCGACCCAGCATAAGAGAAAAGAATCATCCTTCTTCAACGAACAGTTGGGATTGAAACATGCACGGAGTGTGTTTTTGCTTTTCTCTCGCGATCGAGCAGACTTGACAAATGAGCGGGCTGACCTGCCGAGCACTTGCTGTGCATCGTTAAAAGAAAAAGCCTCCAGAAGCCGCGAAGAATGAGAAGGGAAGCAAACGAGAAGATAATAACGGTCAAGGGAGGTCGGGTTCAGCCCTCACCCGTTTGAGCGCGCCAGAGCAAAATCCTGTGTCATAGTAACCGCATTAAGAGACTTCCCCGGCCATCCATCACAGCAACTAAATTTCCCCAGACTCACAGCCTTCAACCACAAGTGGGAAAAAATTAAATAAAAAGAAAAAGAGAAAGGGGGAGATGACCATACCGGGAGTTTTTCGTATTTTAAACCGCCCATTGGATGTCATCTCAGAGCACATTGCCGCTGTTTTCGACTTCCTCTAATTACTATTCGGCCGCCATGTATTTACATACATATATATGTATACTTTATACGGAGCATGAGCTCCTTGACACCAAATTGCGGAGTACATAGTTACTTATGACCCGGGAAAGGGGAAACAGATTATCTATATACTCCATACAGCACTGGAGGTAAAGGTAGCAATATTCTAATCTCCCAGAACAACCCGACTCCTGGCCGCGAAAAGCCACATGAGCATATATGTCATGTAACAACGGAGCTGAATGACGTCCAAGCAAGCAGAGACAAACGTCGCCTCAGAAACAGATGCATGTCAGCAGAAACGGACGGTTGGACCAGGGGCTGAGCCGTACGGAGTATCTATACACTTGATGCTTTTATAGACAAAATATAAGCACACCAACGCTTTTCGATCGTGGCTGGGCAGCCGCCTGAGTTAAAACTCTTGGATTGTCCCACTTAATGAGATCGTTAATCCGTTCGACCTGTTGGAAACTCGATACTTAATTATCGTTCAATCATCGCCGTCGCCGTCGCCGCCCATTGTTGTTGCCGCCATCGTCAAATCTCTACCCGCATCGCCCTCCTTGTGGTTTTGGAGCCTACCCCAGAGCTTCGTATCTCCTAAACTTCGTTGCCTAGAGCTTGCCGCTATGAATGGCCTTGTATCCCATCGTGGGAAAGGCATCACCGAGCTATCTTGTCGCTGAAGTCGATCATCAGTTTCATGTTTGGCTAGAAATACGGACCAGCATACCTTGCCCTCGATTGTCAACCACGCCGTACTAAGTGAAAAGAGAGACAGAGCTTGAGAGGGAACTTCATAGGGAATTTCTTAGGATCGACCTCGAGGTCAACGTTCGACTCAGAAAACGGAGAGAGATAGGAGCGGCCGCGGCCTGGACATCTTGAGATTCGGGTATTTGGATACTGGAGTGATCAAGTCGGCAACGGACGTATACTTGCCCCCCTAACCGGGGCCGATGCCATGGCAGCTGCTATTCCGTCTACCCAGTTCCTCCACCTAGCGAATGTATTCAGGCTCCTGTGCCTTCGAAGCGATGCCGATGATATAATTCTGGAGCTTCTGGGCAGGTTTGCGCTGGATAAGATATACGCTGACAGCAACCGGGAGAAGTTCCAACAACTTGTCGGCACTCTACTTTCACAACTAAACGCTATCATCTATATCCAGCGTCTATCGCTACCATCAGAACGGGAGCAGGTAGAAGAATACGTGGGGTTCCTGGCCAATTGGGAGACCATTGCGCGGTCCATCGAATTCGTATTGCAGGTTGTTATTGAGGGACACGAGAGCCTCTTCAATGCTCATCAGCAGCTGGATGTGCAACTGGCGGACCTGATCTCGACGGCATTGCGTGTTCTGTCCTTTCATCCCAAGGGCTTACCTGATATTAAGGACCAGAAACACCGGTTTGCTCGCATCCACAGGCTCCTAGACAGGCTACATGACCGCTTTCCAGGACCGAGGCCATGCCTACTACTTATCTGTCGGGATATGGCTAATGCATTGCGTATGGACCCTACATCGCTCCCCCTTCCTACAAAACTGAAAAGAGAAATTCCCAATTTGGCTTTAGATTTGGTATGGCAACCCTTCTATATACCTCTCTTCTTGCTATCATTCTATGCCCCGGCCATTTTGTGAAATCTTTGTTTACTGATGACCTAGTGAAGTATCCTCTACCTGAGTGCTTATCAGATCGATATGTTTCCACCATCGTTGAACAAGAAGGTCCTTCTGTCAACTGGCTGACCCAGTTTTTGGCTCTGAGAGATATCACTCAGTTTGTTATTGGCGCATCTATTCAGTACGCGGTAAGCGACGAGACTGAAGACGTATATCTCCCATCATCGTGCGCCAAAACCCGAAATGCTATCCTGGGGTCTCTCGACAAAATACGCATGCCCAACAATTATCCAAAACTAGAATTACTGTCTATGTTCAGCGAGGCTTTTCGAACCATATTACCCGATACCCCCCCGATCAATGGATTCCGAAATCACTCAGGGTTGCTTGGTGACGTTAATGGTGTAGAGGCCATCAAGTCGTTCTGCTTATCACTTTCGAACAGACAAATTATCCATCGGTCAAGCGATGGACCCCTGATACGTGCAATAGCAGAAGTTAATAGGCGTATAACTCTCCTCGATGACCCGAATGAGACTTCAGAGGGCATCGTACCTCGAGTATATGCTCTGAACTGCAAGTCCTGTCATCTTGCTGGAGATACCCAGTTACAGGTTCTGGAGCATCTTGAATTTCCGGTGCGTTCTCAGCATTAGATCTTTTTCCATATTGGAGACGATAAATTTAATCCAGCCTACGCTAACACTATGAGCAGAGTCCGACAGAAGGGTCTGAGATCGGATTACCCCCAAACACGAAATGTGTACAATGCAACCAAGTTGTCACACTTGCGCGAGAGATACCACTTATAAGAGAGACGTGGGAGCTCCTTAATGATATTGATTACAATGCTGACCCTCCTAGCGAGCAACGACACTTCTCCCCTCCATATCAGTTATTCCCGTCTAAGGTTGGCAACCCTTAATTCATATAGCTTATCTACCGATACTCCAGCAATTGTACTAATGATTTGAACCCTTAGATGCTCTCCGATCCTTCATCATCTCTCAAGTTACCACAGAGCCCCAAACCTATTCCTAGTCCAACCACTATAGGAAGATCTCCCACCGCCACACATAGTGTATCTCCAGTTTCTCCAGAAACAAGGCACGGCACTGATGATAGCTTTAGTCAAGAGCACACAATAGGGTCCATAACTGAAATAGTTAGCCCTGATGCCGAACTTTCTAGGCAGCACCTTACCCATACATCAGATCATCTTGTTCAAAATGGTTGTGAAACGCATCATAAACCCCCCCGGTCAGGCAAAATAACAGACGTTCGTCGCACTGCTAGCCAGCATAGTGTTTCACCACCCCGTCCTGGAACATCAAGCAAGACTCACCTTCCTAGGAAAAGGCTGTCAGATTGGCTCACTAAAAGAGAGCATCGAGCTGCAGCATCAGGGGATGCAAGCTCTCATTCGTCCGGATCAATGGAAAACCAGCGGCCAGAGGAGATCTGTCTGAAGAGCCTGACTAGTGCTTCAAAATCCCAAGGGAGAGGAAAGGTCTCGAAGCTGATGAGTGTAAGCCTCTCGCAGAATAGTACCAATGCCCTATTTTGGATGCCTTCTACGATTCAAGTGTGGGATGTTGGTGTTTCCCCTGCGGCTGTGACTAGAGTTATTCCAACGGAAGGCTCATGTCTGCTTGCTGCTGTTACAAAAAGATATTTGGCATACATGGTTGGAAGTAAGGACCAAAAACTCACAGTATGTGCACGCAGCCAATATTTACAACGTTTTTCTCCTAGAGAAATCACTAATATGGAATATGTAGCTCCGAATAATCAACCTTTCACTTCCAACTGCTGCACCTCTTGAATATCAAATGCCTTCATCACAATGGTGTAAGAGCATTGCCATTTGTCCGAGAGAATCACATGTTGCTGTAGGGTTCGAAAACGCTACCGTTCGCTTCTTTAAAACTACCATGTATGAACCCCAGCGAGAATTCCGCCTTCATAACAGATATCATACCCCTAGCGAGTGCGAGAATTGCCCACCGGTCGATACATTGTCCTTCTCACCCGATGGGGAGACACTCATCGCAAGCACAAGAAATTTGAAAGGGGTAATCCAAACTTTCATCCGCAGGGCGTCGACATTTACTTTCCAGGAGCTTTCAAACTGTCACTACCCCATTCCCCTGCATGAGTCAGAGGACGGGGGGATCTCATCCGTCGTTTTTAGGCCGGGTGTCGGCGGAGAGGATGACCTGGTATGTATCACAACGTGGACGCAATCGGGTACCCCATTATTACTGTCTCCCAAGACTGGGCATCGAGTCGAAATTAAGGCCGATAACTCCAGTCACGGACGCCGCCTTGGTACACGAGTGCAATGTGCTGCGTTCTCTTTGACAGGAAAACAGCTCGCCATGGTGAATGACAAGGGCTACATGTACCTTGTATCTAATCTCAACTCAAGCGTGATGGAAGCTCGAAGGCTCGCCACCACTAAGGAACTCACTGCCAGGTGTAGCTTTTACGCGATGTCGTTTATGATACTGCAGGGCGACGAATCAATCGTTCTTGCATGGGCCGATGTAAGCAAAAGTGTGGGCTATATTAGAAGAATACCCATACCCTTCACAGTACGTATATATAACCAATATCATAAAAAAAAAATCGATGCTGATGACATCATACAGCATGGCGAGTCCACGATTGCAGATATCGTACAATCCCACCCAGCGGATCTAACGGAACTGCCTGCAGACGTAGGAGCTAGCGCCTATGGTTCGTTCACGGGCCGCTCGGGTGATAATCACCAAAATACCAGCCATATCCCATCTCGACCAGCCGCTCGATATAGGACTGTCTCAGCTCGTCCAGTTGAGCTGCCTGCTACAGATGGGCTGATATCGTTGTCCCTGAAGACTCCAGTGGATTGAAATTTTTATTGAAGGGGTGTGAAAGCATATATGTTTCTTATTTTATCCTTCACATATGAGCTCTCGGCGCTCAGAGGATGGGGTTTAGCTTGGGCTTCTATTCAGCGGACAGAGTCCAAAGGCTGACTCGTTAAAAAGGCCGATGGATCGATTTTTACGCCACTCACGTTTGCGTCCAGGTTCAGGCTCGGTAGTATATTTGATCTACTATTAACGATGTTGAAGGGACAGAACACCGAACGCACGAATGATATCTTGGAAACGAGAGACGACTTGTATCAACTCGGAGGGCAACAGGCGGCATCTCCAGTTTTGTAAGAAAAAGGATGGTTTTTTTTTTTTTTCATGACTTCTCTTTTTTCCCATCTTCCAGGATGACCAAATTTTTGGGAATATTTACGCTATCATCAAAGGCGCATTTCATTAGGTAAGGGCAGATATAAAAACCCAGGAGGTCATACCACATTTTTCTATTTATTCAAATCACTCGTACTGAGAATAAGGGCTGCTTGGCTCTTTTGTTTTTGGGCCTTGAATCTAGATACCTAGGTGCTATAATTCAGTGTTTCCTATATATGAAGCCTTAATTCGTATATTTCATTGTTACCAATCAGAACACGCCAGTGACATAGTTGTCCCCCCCTCCCCAACTATCCAGCTAGGGATATAAAGTAAAGAACAAAACGGCAGCGGACATTTGTCTGTCTATCTTTTCTTCAACCATTAACCATCACGATGGAAAATCAACGCGTATACAACGACGTTCAAGAACACTATGGCCTGGCAGCTAGAACCAGTGACGATAATGCCTACAGCCGTAAAGTGGCAGAGGCCTTTGGATACAGCGAAGCAGAGCTAGCAAATACTCCTGCAAATGCCAACCTCGGGTTGAGCTGCGGGAATCCGCTGGCACTTGCAAACTTGAAAGAGGTTCGTGTTGCCTTTCCCTAGGTTATTTGATGTGCAATACTTTGACTCTATGAACAGGGAGAATGCGTGGTTGATCTAGGCAGCGGCGCCGGCTTCGACGTCTTCCTAGCTGCCAAAGTTGTTGGATCTGCCGGCAAAGTCATTGGAGTAGACATGAACAAGGTAAGTAATGCAGGTCCTGCCTGTTTCCCAATCAACTGGCTGCTTATAACCGTGATCTAGGATATGCTCGAGAGAGCAAACAAGAACAAGGAAGACGCAAAAGCAGACAATGTCTCCTTCGTGGACTCTCAGATTACAGCCATCAACCTCCCTGACTTGGTTGCCGACTGTATCATTAGCAACTGTGTGGTGAACCTCGTCCCCGAATCTGACAAGCAGCTTGTTTTCAATGAGATGTTCCGTCTCCTTAAGCCGGGTGGCCGAGTTGCCATCAGTGACATTCTTGCTAAAAAGCCGCTTCCTTCCAAAATTCGCGAGAGCGTGGCTCTCTATGTTGGCTGCATTGCGGGTGCTAGTCAGGTTGGAGACTACGAGAAGTACCTTCGTAAGGCTGGCTTTAACGGTACGTACCCCAGTCTTGATCAAGCGATATATTCCACATTTATATTCTATGTCTTTCTCATAACATGTATAGAAATTCTCATCGTTGACGCCAAATCTGACCTTAACGTCTATACGACTGCCAAAGAAGTTGGTCAGAACAATGGCGGTTGCGGCACCCAGTCTAAGCCAGGGTGTTGCAGTGGAGGGATACCCTCTCGCGAGCTGGAGTCCGATGTTAAAGATGTTGATTTCAACGAATGGGCAGGTATGTTGCAAACCATTTTTCTAAGTATCCACAGACAATTGACAGGGGTCACAGGTTCCTTCAAGATATACGCTATCAAGACATGAAGTGGATCTGGTACCTTCGAGACCAGAGGGGGTGTTCCCGAGGGGAAAAGAGATAGAAGAACGTGGCGAAATTGGGCAGTAATTGGTAGTATTTAGTTATGGGATCTATTAAAACTGCTGTTGAAACCCGTAATTTTTCGTGAAAGTTCCATATTTCCTGCAGATGGTGACTGAAGAGCGCCAATGTGATAAAAGCCCAAGTACCATGGAGCAATTGGGGATTACGGGCATATGGTATACCGATCGTGTTTCGCCATCAGGGGAAGAATGGACCGGAATTCATCATAGCTGATAAACTGCCCTCGTCGAATAAGGCAGCCTAGGGCGTACAGGAATGCTAGCCGAGGGGTATGTACATTCCGTTTCAGGGGTCGTATAATATTGGATGATTCTTGAGTTGGTACTTTGGGCTGCTTGCTGGACTGGTATCACCTATCAAGCGCCTGGAATATGTTCATGTTGCTGACCAAGCAAGCCTCGTTCGGTGCACATCCCAATTCAGCCCGCACAATCTCTTCATCACAGTCACCTCGCATGCCGGCAATGATCCTAGCAGCCTCTTCGCAAGGTGTCATGTCATCACTCCACTGACGATCTAGGGTGGTTGTAGATGCAGGGTTCGACGATCTATCAGTGGCCTCGGGCTGGGGTTGGGTGCCTGAACAAGCCTGTTGTTGTACGGAAAAATGGGCTGCATCGGCGGCTGGAGTCGTACATTTCTGGCGATCTTGGTTCCCCCGACAGCATACCGGCGGAGGAGGTTCTGCACGGATGGGCGTAGCGGTGGGACGACGCTCCACCGCTGCTGCTATATGCCTCTTTCTTGGGACAGGGGCCGGGTTGCTGTTCTCTGCTGCGCAAGAAAGATACTCGTCTATCTTGGCATCTGTCATGCCAAAGGAGTTGAGTAGCGATCTCAGCATAGCATTCTGCCTCGCTACCTTTCGGGCAGCGGCCTGCACTTCGATGGCGACGTCGACTCCCTGGCGTTCGTACCTCTGGATACGCGTTTCGAGGTCTTGGATGTATTCCTTTCGTCGCGCGCGAGAACGACGTTGGTTGTCACGAATACGAGCAGCTGCTGGGTTGGCAGCCATGGCCAGTCGTCATGGCTTTCTGCTGCGGGCGTCTGGAAGTCTGTCGCGCAGGGTTCGATGGGTTTGTTGTTGATGGATTGAAGTTGAGATTTTCGTTCGACCAAAAAATAAGGTCGGGTTAGCGTTGTGGACGGAAGAGCCAATCAGAAGAAGCCAGTGACAGGCGCTGCCCTTGATATTTATCTATTTACTCTCTACAGTTGTTATTCTACCAGATATTAAGGATGAAGACACCCTGAGTAAAGGTACAGGTCTTTGTGGGAGCCACTGGGAGTTGCGTAGAGAAGACGTACTTCCTGCATGCCCGCCAATTTGATCTCTGCGGTCCGTTAGAACTAAGGAAGATGGAGAAAAGCAGGCAAGACACCAGAAGGGAGATGTTCCCCTAGTTATACCAGTAGTTATGGGCAGCCAGATCACTCCTCTGTGCTTATACATAGCAGTCCCGGATATAAACAACACCTGGGAGCTCAATATATCAAAAACAGGTGGTAAAACCATAGCGGCAACATATAAACAGCTAACTGGATGGTCATGGAAGATCTGAAACCAATATAATGTCCGAGCAAGTGGCCAGGGGGCTACTATGTAGTTGAATACTATGTATGGACGGAGTAGTCGATGTGTTTCATCTCCTATTAATGGCAGGGATATTTTGTCAATGCTCGTGCTGGTGGGGTGTATCGATGGATCAGCGCATGAACGATGTCACCGATGAGTGGTAACAGACATATCGATCGAGTATATGAAGTACGATGAATGCTTGACTTGATCAAAGGTGAAAAGTCGAATATCAAATCGAAGTTTTGTGGTCACATGACATCGCCAGTTTAAGCGCCCGAAGCGATGAAGATGAAGATGAAGATGATAACAGGAAGAAAAGAAGACAGAAGACTATCATGAAGCCTCGCATGTCAGTGTACACGTCACTAGTCCAAGGCAGAGGGCGCGCTATGCCCCTAAAAATAGACAGGACAGGCAAAGATATATGTATGCCTAGAGGCCAGGCGAGAGAGGCTGGCAAGCCAACGACAAAGGCTCGACAGGATGCAGAGCGACTGGCTGACGAAAGAGACGCACTTGGCTGAAGCTGAGCTCCGCCTCGCAACTGGCTGTGAGTTGTGGATTCACATCTGTTGGCTTCGTGCACGGAGGGCCAATTACTACCCTGGCGATACGACCAGAGCAAAACACGGCAGCATGGCGCTCAGTCACCAACAGGACGAACTCTCTTCTTATCGTCCTTGGTCTTAACGGTTGCTTTAAGCTGAAGAAGACGAAGAAGCCTCTGGATTGGGCCAACTGGCTGGCCGCCGATGTACAATGCTTATGAAGGAGTCTACCCGCCGACAGGGGTCGATTTCACCAGGCGCCCGTCCTCAGCCTCCCTGTTGGCCCAAAGAACAATAGATCTAATACTCTATTTCCCTCAGAGGACGCACCTTGGAGAATACAGAATATTGACTGTTTGTTTCTTCTTTATCCGTTTATTCGACCTGTTTGCGTTGTGCCATCTACTCTGTAGAGACACAACTATATAACAATCCTGTATAAAAGCTCCTCTTTTCACGCAACGCCTTATGTTTATGTCATTTTAACCGGCAGCTGTTAGCATTTTACTTTTCTTGTCTATTTTACTTCTTACAGAAAAGCATTGTACCACTCCGTCCTTCGACATTTAGTTATGGTTTGGCTGCATCACGGTCTCATTGCATTAACGGCGTTATCATCAGTACCACAGACACTTGCAAGGCCGAGTCGTACATTATCAAAAGCATTCCAGCGCCAGGAGCCCTGTGAACTGATCTCTCTTGCACAAAAGGAACAGCTACAAGAAAGTCCAGGCGGTAAGCTTAGCACCATGTCCCATACTAGAAGAATAACTACTAACTAAACGGGGATAGCAAAAGTATTCCTCGTTTCCGCTGAACTTGCCCACTCCTGTTTAACGTCTGTCCCGTTCAAAAAGGAAGACGCCGTTAGGCTGGTTGACGGTCTCGATTCATTCTTCTCGTGGCAGAGCACACTCGATTATCTCAAGGACCCTCCAAAGGGATATCTGCTCCCGGGAGTCGACCTTGAAGATGGTTTGAAGGGAATCAGACTTAAAGCCGTTGGCAACGAGTATGCAAATGAATTTGAATTCCAGAGTGATATAATTAGGCTCGCCTCAGCCGTACACGACGGGCATTTTAACATCAACCTCGACGCCATCAGCACCTTTACCTTCCGAAGAGACGGCATCGGGCCACTAGTCTCCCTGTCACCGGATGGGAAGAAGCTCCCTGAGGTATATGTCTTTAGTATGTATTACTACTAACAGGAAATGCACGCCCTCCCTTCCAGGTGTTGTTGCATTCGCTAATTATGCCTTTAGGAGATTTAAACGTCACCGCAACGGAAAAGGTAAACTGGAAACCATCTGCGATCAAGTCTATTGACGGGCAGGATGCCGTTCAGTGGCTGCAGGCCTGGTCATACCATGCAAGCTTCCAGGATCCAGATGCATTGTACAACTCTCTATTTCACTCGATCCCAAGATATGAGCTGGACTCGTATGGGGGCTTCTTTGCGATTGGGGGAGTATACACCGGTCCAACCACCAAGCTGACTTTCGAGAATGGGACAACGAAAGAGTACATGAACTATGCTGCCTTTCAAGAACCGTTTGTCGGCGTGGTGGATGGTGGTACCTTTTACGACAAGTTCTGCAATGGAAAGCTTGACGCCGAGCAGCAGCTGCAGAAACGTGACTCCGACATGGCCGTCAGCCATCGTGAGGTTCATCGACGGGCCGTCCCAGGCAAACCTTCCAGAGTACTCTTCCCGAAGCCAGTGGAAGAGTTCGAGTACGGGGATGTGGCTGGTTATTTCCTAGGTGACGACCATCCGGACACTGCCGTTCTATCCATCAACTCCTTTTCGGGTTCAGACGAACACCAGGAGCTACGATTCAGGGAATTTAGCTCTGTGATAACCAGGTTTTTGGCGGCGTGTCAGAAACAACGAAAATCGAAGCTCATCATCGACGTGAGTGCAAATGGAGGCGGCGCTGTCTTTTTGGGATACGATGCTTTTAAACAGGTATGTCATATCCTTGATATATATATATATATATATATATGCATTTAAAGTCCTTGAGCCTGACTTGTTCCTACAAGCTATTCCCTGATACGCAGCCGAACGATGCGTCCAACCTGCGTGCCACGGAGCAACTGGACGTCATTGGCAGCAAGGTGACCGCGGTGCTGTCAGACCCTGGGCACCGCAACAGCAGCATGGGCCGGTACCTGCGAGGGTCTCAGTTCGACATTGGCGTGTACGTCGACACGCAGGGCGAGGCCCTTTCCGACTGGGACGACTTCTTTGGCCCGGAGAAGGTCGGCGACTTCAACTTCACGCGCCTGTCCACCTGGAACCTGAAGAGCGAGGACCTTGCAGCTGCCTCCGGGGACACCGTTGTTTCCGGATACCTGGATCGCGGCGACCTGCCGCCTCAGGTCTTTAAGCCGGAGGAGATGATCCTCCTGACCGACGGTACCTGCAGCTCCACCTGCGCAATATTCGCAGACCTGCTGAAGCGCAACGGGGTGAAGTCAGTGGTGACCGGCGGCCGCCCGCGCGACGGGCCGGTCCAAGCGATTGGCGGTGTCAAGGGCTCGCAGGTCCTGACGTACCAGCAGGTCTACCAGGCGGTGTCGTCCGTCTACAGAGGGTATTCGACCGCCCGCGAGCGAGAGGAGCTGGCCAAGACGTCCATCGGCGAGATGTATCGAACGGGAGAGTACGTCCTCGCTCGAACGAGGCGAGACGGCCTGGGTGGACGAGTCAACTTTCGCAACGCCGTCCGTCCAGACGACGGGTCGCGCACTCCACGTCAGTTCGTCAACGAGCCCGCCGACTGCCGGATCTGGACGACACCGAGGATGTTGTTCGACATCACCGTCCTCTGGGGCGCGGTGCATGATGTCGCCTGGGGGGAGAGCAGCTGTGCTCCTTAGCAGCACCAGCACCCTTGCTGGGCCCCCCTTGTTAGGGAGAGAGCCGGGTATGCGGAGTTCCTATATTACCTGCATATCCCGACCTTACTCGATGTATATTTCCCTGCGTCTATCCGTCTCCATAACTACGGATCTACTGTACCTTGTCTGATATATATCAACCGTTCAAATCTTGCGCTGGCGATTCAATATATTCCCTTCCCCTTCACCTCCCTCCCCCCTGGCATATCAGCCCCTTTTTTTTTTTTCCTTTTCCATGGTGACACCTGCATATGTACATACCTTGAACAGACGGAATACAGCTAGACCATCACAATAACAATAGAAAAGAAGGAAGAAAAGCAAAGAAGAGAAAAAAAGCAAGCTGCTCCATCCTTGATTCTTTGATTCTCGCAAGTTCCACATCGCCAACTCACCGGGCTTGCGCGATACTGCAATAGGCATAGAGGGCGACCAACCACTGGGGATCGGTGATATCATGGACTTTTCTCTGCCCGCTCGTGAGCACACAGAGGGAGATATATATATATACATAGACGTACGCCCGTATATAAGAGGCTGTGGGTTCCAAGGGGTTCTCATCGCGAGCCAGGGAACGATGGCGACTCTCTGAAACAGCCGTTGGAAGAAGAAGAAAAAGAAAAAGGACGAGAGAAGAGGAAGAAGAAGATACGTCTCTTTCTCTTCGATGCCGTCCTTCACGCTATAACCAAGCAGAGGAGATCACAGCGAAGGCAGACACGCAGAGACAGACTCGACAGACCTCGTACGGAGAAGACCCTTTCTCGTCTCTGGTAGTCGACACGGCGGCGGAGGCGTCTTCGCCTGTGTTTGCCGGCGCAGACCTGGTCGAGAGGCTGTGGGCAGCTCATGGCGGAGTCGATATCCATTACAATATGTGGTGATGGAGGATGCGGTAGGTCTCAGAGGCTATAGCAGCGCTGCTATACCTCCTGGATGGTGGTTTTGTGCTGACCTCGAGACCAGGCAAGTCGTCGATAACGCTGCGTCTGGTGCGAAGCCAGTGGAATCACGAGTAAGTTGGACGCTATCGAGGATGAAGAAGAAGAAGATGATGATGATGAAGAGAAGCTAATAGATGTCTAGGTATGACCCTACGATCGGTATTGTCCCCAGTGTCGCGTTGGATATACCGTGGCTATACAGCTGACGTCCCTATAGAAGACTCATACTCGGTCACTCGCACAGTCGACGGACTGCCGTACTTCCTCTCTCTCACCGACACGGCCGGCCAGGAGGAATATCGCGGTCTCTGGGCTGCCTCGAACCTGAACTCGGATGCCTTCCTGCTCGTATACGACATCACCAACGAGCCGACGCTCGAGACCCTGGACCACTTCATGGAGATGATAGACATGGAGACGGAAAACAGGGAGGAGAACAGCACCCGCCTGCTGAAGCAGTTCTACCACGACTACCCCGAGCATGGACTCGACGACCAGCCCATGATCGGGATGCCGCCTCCCGTCAAGATCGTTGCCGGGAACAAGTGCGATCTCAAGGAGGCGCGGGTGGTGAGCTCCAGACGCGGCCTCGAGTTTGCCAGGAGCAGAGGCTGTGGCTTCATGGAGACCAGCGCATGGGAGATGGTCAACATAGAAGAGACCTTTGCCTGTGAGTTGGCTGTCTTCTACACCCTCACAGCGGGATATCATTATCAATACTTCATTCTACCCAGCACTGGATATCAAATACAGTGGATGTTAGTACGGATGTTAATGTGTTTTTTTTTTTTATGAGCAGTGATCGTACGGCGGGTGGTTGAAGCTCGCAAGCTGCACCAGCGGCAGCAGATGGCCCAGCTGCAGGCGCTCAGAGAAGCAGACCAACTGTCCTCGACACGCTTCTTCTCTACCGCCTATAGGAGAAGAGCTACCCAGCCGGTAGCCCACAGCCAGACGGCTCCGCTCACGACAGAGGAGGGACAGAACCCGACAGGGCGCAGCATCACCTCTGACGTCCGGCCCCAGCGACGCAGTCTATGGCTTTCTGTCCAGAAAGCATGGAACAGGCGGACCACAGCGCAACTAAGGCGGTCCAAGTCCCTCCAGCCGGTCCTCAAGCAGTGGGAGGGCCAGAGTCGCCCAGGCACGCTCTCGACGCGTTCGAGCAAAAAGGCAGATCCGGATGCATATGAATCTACTTACTCGAACACTAACGACAGCAGGCATGGCCATTATCGAGATTCTACCCACAGCGGCCGTTTCAAGCCCGCCGAACGCATATCGAATCCCGTGGTGGAAGATAGTATGATCTTCCGGCCGATGTTGATCGCTACACATATTCCCCATACCTCCGCCTTTACTCATTGAAAATGCCCTGCCAGGAGAGACTCTTCCGTTTGTCACCTCTTCTCG